CTTTGATCATGTCAACTGGAATTTTGTGATTATTTGATCTTCAGACATGGTTTCAGTTCCAGGTGGAGGAATTGGATCAAAACATGCTTAACCTCCACCAGTTTTGCAGTTCTGGTCAACGGAGGTCCCTCCTTTTTCCATGCCACTCGTGGTCTCTGGCAGGTGGACCCGTTTTCCCCTCTGCTTTTCATCATTGTCATGAAGCTCTCAATAGTCTTTTCAAGAGGGCTAGGAAGCAGAATCTGTTTGAAGGCATAAAAATTGGTAAGTCCCCCACTCAACTTGAAATTTCCCATTTGTTTTTTGCGGATGACTCCTTAATTTTCTGCAAACCAAGTGCTGACTATATGTTTAATTTGAGATGCATTCTCCTATGCTTCCAAGCTATTTTGGGCATTAAGATCAACATTAGAAAATCAGAACTGGTTTGTTTTGGGAACGTTATCTATGGGACTCATTTGGTTTCGTTTTTGGGCTGTAAAGAAGTTAAGCTTCCTATTAAGTACTGGCTTACCGCTGGGAAACAAGTACATAGACAGTGCTGGGTGGGACCCGATTATAAACTTGTTTGAGTAAAGACTGGCTGGATAGAAAAGGTGTTTTTTAACTAAAAGGGGTAGACTGACTCTTATTAAAAGCACGCTTTCCAACATCCCCATGTATTATTTAAGTGTCTTCACGATTCTGGTCCACATTGTCAAAAAGCTTGAGGCTATACAGAATGGATTTCTCTGGGGTGATATTGAGGAAAAAAGAAGATACCATTTGATCCGTTGGGATGAAGTCAAAAAACCATTTACAGGAGGTGGATTGGGCCCTAGATCTATCACCACTATTAACAAAGCTCTCCATGCCAAATGGGTTTGGCGCTACTTAGTGGAGACCAACAGCCTTTGGAGAAAAATCATCGACATTGAATGGACGAGGAGGGACAAGCTCGGATATTACTCTGTTGCGAACAGACCTCATGGTCACAGCTTATAGAAGGCTATCATGAAATTATTTGAGATAGTGTATGATTGCTTTCATTGGCAGATTGGTAGAGGTGATCATATTAATTTCTGGAATGATCTCTGGATTGGCGACACTAGACTGAGGGATAAATTTCCTATAATTTTTTTGTCTGGGAAGCTGCCAAGAATCGCATCCTCACCATTGACAATATGATGAAACTGGGGAGCTATCTGGTTAATAGGTGTTTCCTTTGCAAATGCACTGCTGAAAGTCCAAATCACATTCTGCTTTGGTGCTTTTTTACCTATCAGCTCTGGTCACTGATTTACAACCTATCTGGTGTTCAATGGGTCATGGCTGATTCTGTGACAAATGAGCTTCTGGCATGGAACTGTTTTCCTTCCTGTAATTACAAAGTGTCACATCTCATTCCCTTAACAATTTTCTGGGTTATTTGGAAAGAAAGAAACATGAGAACATTTGAGGATACTGAAGAAACCTTTGTAAATATTTAGGATATGTGGCTCCATTATTTTGACTCTATTGTTTTGGGACTTAACGTATACTCTATGAATGATTTAGGAGCAATTGTAGATATACTTATTGATCTTTAACTTTTTTATACATGGGGGCACCCCCTTGGTGTCACTTACTCGATACAATTTCCTTACTTTTATTTCAAAAAAATAGACCAAGTCATATATTTTAAAAAGTATGCTATATAGTCCCATATCACTTATTGTTTGGTGGGTTCATCTTCTCCTTGAAGATGGATGTTAAAATATAGACTCTCTTTTTGTTTCACTTTGTATGAGGTTACCTTATCCTCTCTCTTTGTATTCTCTTTTTCTCTTGAATATATCTTCTTTTCATATATGAAAAAAGAGTGGTGGGAAGAGGTTTTGGAGAGGGTTAAAGAAGGTTACAAGTGTATAGATGGGACGGCAAAGAAAAATATCTCCTTACTTCAGTGAGCTAGATAGGTTAGCTTTGAGGAAACTCAAATTCTCTTGAAGGCGTTTCTTTTAAACAAATGTAGAATTGAGTTGGCTAATGCGAGTGATGGTAATACAGGTTTTTCCCATAGAGTGGCTAGGAGGAGGCATAAGAGCTTGATTAAGTATTGGAGCTAGGAGATAGATATGTGAAAGGCTGTTCATTTATTGAGGTTGAACTGACATGATTTTCTAGAAATTATATGAAGAGGATTTTAGTTCACATTCTATTGAGGATTTAGAGTGGTACCCTATCAATGAATAAATATGACGTGCTTAGAGAGGTGATGGAGGAGGTAAGAAAAGAAACTGGAATTTTAGGTATGGGTAAACCTTCTGATCTTGATGGTTTTCTGTTGTCCTTTTTAAGTGGTTAAGATATTGGCAGTAGGGGTTTTCCATATAGATTTTCAATAAATTTAGTAAGAATTAGCAATTTGCTTTTCATCAGCTTAGTACTTAAAAAATAGCTTAATTCAGGTAATGGATTATTATATGTTTCCTTTTGTCCCCTCATTTCCGCTTCCCTTTTTAGTATAAACAATGATTGGGAGATGGCTCAAGAGTGTTTTCTGGAAGAATCTTTAGATTGGTGATAGTCCTTGGCAATCGCGTTACTCTCCTTTAGAACATCTCCTGAAGTCATAATACCCATGTTTCCCATTTTGGTAGTCACACAAAGAAGAATATGCCCTAGTAATTTTCATTTTCTTGAGAAATCTTAATGCTCGGGAGACCATTAACACCAGCTTGGGAGTAGAATCTGGACCTTAGATTCATCAAGTTGTGCACATGTAAATCCTTCTTTGGGCACATTACCCATAACTTCTTTTAACGAGGCATTTTGAAAGCAAAAGCAAAGTTCCTGCTAAGTTTAAAGTGTTTGCTTGGACAGTTGCCCTTAACAAGCTAACAGTAATGAATTGCTGTAAATTTGCAAGCTTAATTGCACTCTTTCACTAGATGTCTTTTTCATATATCTAAAGACATGTCTAAAGAAGGGGAGACCATAACCATCTATTTCTTTAGTATAATATAGCTTGGAATCTGGACTAAGCTATTCAATTTTGTTTGATTTATGTGGGTTGTACCATCTTCATTGATTGCTTCATGAATTCAAGTCTGATGGAGAAGGGATGGGAAAAGAAGCTAAAAAACTATGGAGGCTTGTGCTTTTTTCACGGGATTGTAGACATCATGGTTTGAACCAAACAATAAGATTTTTGAAGATTGAACTTTTTATGTTTGAATGTTGTGGGAGCGGTTTTGTCCTCCTTATTGCCTAAGGCCCATGGTTGCTTTACTGATATATCCTATCTGTGTTACATAGGAATCGGGGGGCAACAGTACACCGATATTTGCTGGGTTTGCTATAACTATGTTTTGGCCTTCTTGGATAAGAAGGCTATAGGAGGACATCTTATACTCCATCACTATATTCTTGTCCTTAATGATATATTTTTTTCTTAAAAAAGGTACAGACTATGATCAGGAGGGTTTTATTTTTCATTCTTATCCCTCAATTATATGTTCTTTATGATAATAAGGACCTTATCTCTTCAAGAATTGACTTAGACTTCGGCATCTTTGCTTAACTTTTGTTCTTTGACCCGTTGTTGGCTTTGGTGCTAGACTGCTTGTTCCACACTTGTAAATCCTTCTTTCAATTTCTTGTCCATCATCCTATTGGACAAATTTGGCCTACACAGTTAGTTTTGGAAGGTGAAAACGTCTAGGTTAGTTTGTTTTTTTCATTTGAACTGCAGTTCTAAACTGGATAAGCACTAATATTTTGTTACCAGTACATTGACCCCATAAGAGCTCTTATGTTTGGATATATCTTGATGTGTGGTCAAAGCTTTGAATCTAATAGTCACTTCTTCATTGGAATGTAGCATGTAGATCTC